CACTAACATGAGTTACCAAAGCGGTCGGATCGTGTAAAAGTCTGTGATGTTTGAAAATGCAACTCTTAACTTTGCAAACCTCCTTTGACATCTTGCAATTTTTATAATTGTGCGAACCTTTTTTCAGGCATTTATGGCACAGCTTTTTGTCCGTGACAAACTGCCATCTGTCATTAATTGACAAAGTATTAAAAATGTCACAACAACTCAATGTATGATTATTACCGCAATATGGACATAATTTATTTACGATTTCTGAATTATTTGATAAATTCGTAGATTTTTTAAATTCGTGAGCAATTACTGGAATGTCATTTAAGCTCGAAGCATGGATTTTCTCTACCTTTTTGAAGGAAATCGAACTGTCTGTTATTACACCAAACTGGAGCTGAAGGTCTACCTCCCGTGAAAGGAAACGAGATAGGAGTTCTAACTTCGTAATACCGCTATTGTGAATGTAGTTTGCGTATCCAAAATCAGCCCATCGATTTCGTAATAAAGGTGATAATTTACTCAGGATACACTGATAGAGTTCCGGTGACTCTAGATAAGGTTTCTGATTAAGCAGCTTAATGACCTCTACACAATTACAAACTCGGCAGGCGAACTTGTTCAAATCGGCACTGTCATTATTAATCCGCGGTAAAGCTCGAATTGTAGCTGTTTCCTGTATAACAATTAGTTCAGGTCTACCAAACCTGCGGTCCAAAGCCTGCACGACTTCGGTAGGGTCTCGCGCAGTAACAAGAAGTACTGCCACTGCTTCATGTGCGGCTCCTCGAAGAGCCATATTGAGACGTAGTAAATTGTCAGCCGACGAATAAAGTGACATAGTTTCTTGAAAAACGCGTTTGAATGCTAACCAGTCCAGTGGATTTCCGTCGAATACAGGTAGACGTCCATCTCCAAACTTAGGCTTAGATTTGCTGTTGCCAGCTAATGAAGTAATTGCTTCAGCAAGTAACTGTATATCAGACAAATTTGTATTATTAACAATAGGATTAGTATTACTATTAGCAGCATTTACACATTGTAAATCAGACCGCAAAGAACTTATATTGTTAAAAGTTCTAACAACATTATTAGCAGATGTAGGATGACATATAGTCTTACTGTTTACCACATTTAAGTTACTGGAAGAGTTTTGTACGTTAGCGGAAACACAAACATTATTAGACACTACAGGCCTTGTGTTGTCCTGCGTATTAGGTGGAGTAGGGTCACTCATAGCTACACACAATCTATTAGGCAACGTAGGCCTCGTGTTGACTATAATATGATTACTACTCGATACCTGCTCAAAACCGACGTCATGAGATTGGTCACGTACTTCTACAGCAACAGGGATAGCAGAATTAAAACATTCATCTAACCAATTATGCACATCCTTATTTGACAGTCTGCTTGAGAGTTTACTGCTGCTTCTATTACGCAAGCTTTTGCGCTCCTCAATAGCAGCGATCTGCGCCTGCATACGGAGCTGCAACGCATCACGCTCTCGTTGCATCACCTCGCGCTCTCGTTCAAGAGCTGCACGTTCCATTTCGGCTACCTTTTGTGCGTAATCCGCTTCAAGAGCTATTATAGTTGAGTTAACTGACCCTGAAACAGAACTAGCTGAGGGGATGTGACTTCGCGTTGATGTATGGGGGTTCCCGTACATAGCGGGCGGAACATTTTGCCCCTGCATCGCTTGCGTACGTTTACTTGCTCTTGTCTCTACCACCATTTATGATTCAAAGACGGTGGAAGGACCACAATGTGGAGGCTAAGGACTGTATTTTAATTATTATTAGAGAAAATAAAACAGTGGTGGCAGTGACAAGGTAAAACAATCTATTTTAATGTCAAAGAATAACAAACTCAATAAAAAAAGTATCAAAAACTCATAGACAAAACATAGTGATATAAAAGGTGCGCTATCCGGCACAATTAGGGTTCACATTTTATTTAAATGTTTATAAATGGATACCGTCAATAAAAATATAATCTGCAATTATGTATAGTCTGTTTTTTAATCTCGGAGATAAAAATGTGTTGCCGGTTTATTGCTGTTCTTAAATAATGATATATGGAAAAATAACCAAAAATATAAATAAGGATTTAAAAAAAACCGACATCGTGGGTACAACACTACATAACAAAAGCTGACATCATTATTTGCAAACGTGACATTTGCGTGTGTTATTTTTGGCTCCAGGATTAAAAAACAGACTTAAATTCTCTTTTAACATAATCAGGTACATTGCAATTCCTTGTCAGGTTCTACAATGAAGGTACTAGTTTACAAATATGCCTTGGAAGGCATAACAATATGGTTTTTGTTATCATTGTAGTAAGTAAAACAACTTTTATATATTTTTTTATGCAAAAGATATAAAGTCTTATTTTAATTAATTGTTATACTTACTGAACATGTTTTAATGAACACTATTATTGTATTTATAGTATTTATTTAAAAATTGTTATATCTAATATTTAATTGTATATACATATATATATATACATCTAATATAATAAAACATAATTTAACACTGTTTCAAAGAGATCAGAAATTGCTTTTCAACAGATTGTGATTCTCGAATAATCAAAATATAACTCTGCTAAGCAAATACTGTTTTTTTATTGCTCTGAAGGCAGTCTCTCATTTGTTATTAAGGTACTTAACCAAAAGTTTTTAGTAACCTAATTAATTACGCTCAACCATTAATGAGGCCAACCAAGACACTAAAATAGGTTGTAAAGCCTCTCTACCGAGTAGACAATCAGAACTTAGATTCTAAGATTTATGACGTCTTAATACCTTAAAAATATATTGTTCTTGTCTTTTAGTGTCACTAACATTACAGTGATTAAAGAGATTGCTACCTTCTACTTTGTTGTTTGCGAGACTCTGATCCTTATTAAACATTTGCTTCTCATATAATTTTAACCCAATTATTTCTTCTGCCAATATCAAGGACAAGATCTTTCAGAAATTTACTGGAGAATCAAGATCTAGTTGTATTTTAAGTTTTGCAAATAATATTTTAAGTTCAATTTGTACTAACCTTTTTAAGATTTGTACTTGCAAATATCTTTCCGAGATTGCTTATTGTAATTAAGTAGAATTAAAGTCATATTCATCGTCATATTTAAAGTCTTCGCCAAGAACAAGGTTTAGTTAAATCTCTGAATCAGAGTCAGGTGTGTAGAAACAAGTCATAAAAAAGTTGTTTATATTGTATAACAATGTGAGGTATCTGACAAGTCTTCATAAAATTTGATAATTTGTTAATTATTTAATTGTTCTTCATAACATTATTGTCGACAAAGTGGATCATTACGTAAACAGCATTTTACGAACTTTAGAAAGTGGGAAAGCCAAACCGAAGATGAAGAAGACGTTACATCTATTGCTCTCTTACGAGATACTCGCTCTTCATCCGAAGCAGCGGTATTCGTATTTCCTGGCGCTGTGTGCGATCCACTTTGCTTTGATCCCGCTCAAAGAAAGTATTAAATTAATCTCCTTGATTGAGCATAAAAACAATTACGATTAAACACATATAAGAAGCACATTATGATGAAAGATTATAAATTGAATATCGGAATCGACCGTCATGTTTACAATTTTGCCGACTATTGCATATGTTTCACCGAGGGTGCTAAATAGGATTTAACATATTTCGCACCCTCGGTGGATGCCAAATACTCATATGGCCCGACTGGTGGTAAGCTTGCCTATCCTAACGCAATCAACTACCCCATGGAGCCCTGGAATCTTACTCACCGACAGAAACACAAATGTACCAAAACTTAGTGTTATTTTACTGTGGTCTTTCCGTAAGGTGGAGGTGACCTCCTTCGACGGGCGCTCCAATTCGATTGGTAAATCTGCTATTAGGGTATTTGACAAGTTTTAGAAAACGATCTCACGTTGTTTACTAATGTTTATGGAGTCCATAATGTACCAATTGTTGCCATTTGTATTTATTAACAGTGATTTTACTATTCTGAAAGAACAAAAATAAATTACATTTCTATAAATCATTAATTAGAAATGAATTGTTTAGTCCGTGGTCACGTAACCGAAAACGCCTTTTTGATTCTATTGTGTAATTCAGTAAAAAAAACTAAATTAAAAATTCAATTTTCAAGTTACCGCGACACCGTTTCTCTATAGTCTGTCCATTATATTATTGTCTTTTTGACAGATCGATCGAAGTAAAAATAGTGATTTTAGTTATCAAAAATACTGGTGTTTAATAAATTATTACAAAATCTCATTAGATTTATTATTTTACCTAGTATAAATATTTGTGTGATGAGCACGAGTATTTATTCTGTGTCTGGAAGTGATGTATCTATATTATGAATATATACAACAAAAAAAGCAGTATACTTTTTATGTTTGTTTATCCTAATACTACCTAATACTCTTTATTTATTGATTATAACCTATATCTTTGACTTTTTTCCTTACAATTTGGTTGTACTCATTTATTTCTACCGATTATTAGTAATCTGTGGCACAATCTTAGTAATCATTATGTGTGGTACATCACTAAGTGGGCGGTACCCGTCCATGAAGTACAATATTATTTGTATGACATTTTAACGTAAACAATACAAAATTTCATGGGCGTCGATCTGTCAAAAAGATAATAATAGAATGGACAGACTATAGACATTATGGCGTCACACTAGCGTGTGACGTCACACGACTGTCTTTAAAACGCCAAACGATACACAGAAATGTCACTTTGGCCGGATGTTTACTAGCGTGTGACATCATTTTAGTCTTGACCAATCCTAGGCGTTTTCGGTTACGTGACCACGGACTAAACAAATCATTTCTAATTAATGATTTATAGAAATGTAATTTATTTTTGTTCTTTCAGAATAGTAAAATCACTGTTAATAAATACAAATGGCAACAATTGGTACATTCTTTTCCATACTGTCAAATAGCCTATTCCCTACCTCTTTAGTTTTTTAAGTCTGTTAAAAATACTTACATTAAGCGGCAAAGCGAAGTAAGTGTCGAAGCAGAGCAGCAGCACGAATATGCCGGTGATGAAGTAGTAGATGGCGGAGGTCCGTCGGCTGTCGAACAGTTCCGATGTCCATGACATGAAAACTACTATGGTGCCGCACACGTTGGAACCCAGCACTACGGCACCCGTGTACTTGGGCGGGAGGCGAGCAGCCACCCCGTACACGGAGTTTTGGAATATAGCGTTGAGAGCTGTAATTAAAAACGCAAACAAATCAGTTTGGTAAACAAACATGGAATATGTCTTCATTGTTTTTATTTAGGCTTTTCACTAGTACCTTTATATGTGTAAAGAACATTTTATTAGATAATAACAACTTGACACAAATACCAGGATAGGATTGATGCCCGAATACGCCTACTAAGGTCACGATATAATATTTCTATCTAAATTTTTAAAAAACACAACTGACTCTCCGCAGCTACTAGCACTCTTCAAATTCCGAGCATCATCTAAAATACCGCGCAAACCAATTACACCACTTTTTCCACCCTTGAGAAGAACGGTACTTGGTTCTAACTCCCCCATTACGAGATTATCGTATACCCTAAATAAATATAGTGACATTGTCGACATACATCATCACTGTATGATCTCATTGCGAAACAAATTGTATGATTACATATTTCCTCCGAATTCATAAAAAATATATAAAAATAAATTGAAACATTTAAATAAATAATAACACAGATTACACATACACATACATACACACCTTATTCTAATTAAATAATATCTGCTTAAACTTAATGTAATGCATGCTGAGTTCGCCTTTAAGTGGTTACGCGTTATATTCACTGAATGTAAAATTGTATTAAATAAGATGTATTGATGTAGTAACTGTTGGTGATCCAATAAAGATAAAAAATAAAGAAATCAGTGTTTTGTCAGGACAACGAAGAACACTAGCTCGATTCCGGCCTGACACTAGTAGGCCTATTCGCTAACTCAATCAGAAATTAATATATCTTTATTCAAATTGGATGCATAGTACAACTCTATTGAATCTTCCAAATTTTTTTTCCGCCACCACTCGTGGATATTGGTATAACGAGTGGTTATTGGACATATTTTTTAGCTGCGGAGAAAAACGAGCGAAAAAAACTCCACAACATTAAAAGTATAATGTAACAACATTTACAAATCATCGGAAAAATAGGAATGAATGAATCAATCAATCAATCCATCAATCAATATTATGAAGGCGAAAGTTTGTGAGTGTGTATGTTTGTTACTTCTTCACGTCTAAACGGCCGAAGTGTTTTTAATAATATTTGGGATGGAGTTAGCTGACACTCTGGATTAACACATAGGCTACGTTTTACTGCGGGTAAATATCCCTAATAAACCGCGGGTAACACCACGGAGCACAGCTAGTTACAAACATAAATTAAAAATAAGGAAGGTCAAGGATTGAGCCCTGCGGAACACCCATCTTAACCGGCGAACCCGGAAACATATTGCCATTAATGTCTACCCTCTGAATCCTATCCTTCAGGTATGATGAAATAAGATCTAAATCGGTATCTCTAAATCTGTAGTAGTAGAGTTTCCTGAGTAATGTTTCATGAAAAACGCAATCAAAAGCCTTGGACAAGTCGCAAAACACACCTAGAGCGTCCTGCGAGTTCTCCCAGGCGTCAAGAAGTTGTGGTATAAGTTTAACAAAGTTCAAGGCATCGGTTGTTGAACGACCCCGTGTAAAACCAAATTGTTTACAGTGAAGTATATTATATTTATTAAAATGAGCCAGCAACTTTTTTAAATTTATAGACAATTTTTTCATATCCATCGATGCTTTTCAAAACAAGTATCTTAGTGGCTTTATAATAAAGCAGTAGTGGATTAGTAAATAACTCAGGGATTATCACTTACATGTCTCAAAACCAGTTAGCGAATAGGCCTACAGAATTAAATTGATCCTTGTAAAAATCAAGTATTATTACCAAGAACAAATAGTTAAAAGTTAGGTAAACTTAGAGCTTTACCTTACTTTAATTGTTTTCCACTATCATTATGTAAAATTGTGTAGCAAAACTTAGGTGCACACATATTTATAAAGAAATGATGCGTGTGTTTGAGTGAGCTTTAATATATCCACTGTTTGATATGCGGCAACACCATGTATTAGTACTGCCACAGCGTTGATGTGGAAATGCATAATTTATATCTGGGTAACTATAGGTGAGATATTAAACATTTATCACAACATAAAGTGAATCCGTCGTCATAAGTCTATCAATATTTCAAGTACTAGAGCAAAGGTCTTCTCTGTGGACGTAATAGGGAGAATGGACCATGATAGGACCTAAGTTAAAGTGCGGATTGATGGGTATTGACGACTGCAGATGCAGTCGGGAGTCGGGACTAACAGTTTGACGTGCCTAAGCTTGTGTCTAGAACTATAGACAAAGAATTTATGGGTGTGACGTTATCGAGTTTTCCTGTGAATTGAAAAATAATATTATCTTTATTGCGCTATCGAAAATGTAAGTAGGTTATGACAATCTAAGATAAATACAGATAAGAAAGTCAACATTATATAATTTAAAGATATTTTTTATGTAAGACCTACAGTGTTATTATCTGAAGCGCGCAGTTGATAATATAATTTATCAACAGTAGGTATACTTTAATAACGTGGGAGAAGATCTGTGTGTATAGCTGTGTTTGTATCATGAATTAAGCAAGAGCAGCCCAGTTTCCATAATAATTTTATTACATAAACCAACCACAGCTTTAATATAAGTAATAATGTATGTATGTCGATTGCGTCTATTTTTATTTCATACGAAATGCAATTTAGAGATGACTATTGGGTGATGTTGAAATTTAATATCATTCCTTAGTCTTCCCCCTACTTTACAACACTTGAAATTCTATAGGGTTTTCCAATTAGAACCGGGTATATTAGAATTAAAATGAAAAAAAAATGTTTACAATAACACTAACGGAGGTGGTTCAAAAGTGGTAGTCGTTTTCCTGCAGCGACGAAACATATATCATTTGGTAGCTTGTTTTATATTATAACATGTACAGATCCTTTTTTTATTTATCTCCGATTAATTCTTATATATTTAATCGTGGTTCAGTCTTGCGCGGACCGTAGAAAAGTAAAGAAGCCACAGAGCTGTGTGCAAAAATACGAAAACAATACTTACACATTATGCATTAAAGATGACTTTAAATGTTTAAATAATGGCTTATATCGTTTTCGACAACGCGATTATCCCACGGAACTCCGTGGATCGCCCAAAGAACCTTTTGGACAGGTTTTGGCCAGGTTTTGGCCACGATTTTGTTCGTGTAGGGTACTAAATATCGTTGTTTGCAATGCCTCGAATTAATTTACTATGAGAAGTAACCTTTTGAATATCAGTATCAAAGAACTGTTCCGCATTAGAAATTTTAATATACAACGCCTAGAATTAATTTACTATGAGAAGTAACTTTTTGAATATCAGTATTAAAGAATTGTTCTGATTTAGAAATTTTAATATAACATATATTTAAACTCCTGAACCGGCATCATTAAGCAGTAAGAGAACAATATGTGATTTATTTTTATTCCTCCCTAATTTTGTTCGAATACCAGTGATTTCACATAACCCCAAAAAATAGTCATTGGGCATTAAATCACATGATCTTGGAGACCATTTATCTTATCCCTAAATCTTCAAATAAGAATTCATTGACGTTGTCTCTTTCAATAAATTGATTGTTTCTGTGGTACAGGTGACTCCACCCTGCTGAATCCAAATGTCCCTCAGTTCCATTTCATTTAATTGCAGATATAAAAAAAACGAAGTATGATGGTTTAATGACTACCACAATAATTACACAATACAATTTAGGCAGCACCGACCTCCGACGTTCTCGAAAAATAAGGACCACCAAAATAAGGACAGAATGCAAGGGAATTTTATTAATCTGTTATGCCCGGGTTACACGAAGCTAGTTTTGCAAGCTAGGATAGCAAGCTACTGGCAGTAAGGTAGCAAGCTATTACCTTATATTATTATAGTTTACAAGCCAGGACAGTGTTTAATATGATGAAGTTCTATTTTTTAGGCTAGTAGTGGGGGGGGGGGGGGGGGTCACCACTCATTTTACCACACTTTACAACTCTTATTTCTATATATTATTTTATACAAAATGGTGGATGCGGTGTAGTCCACACCCGTCATTTTTTTTCAAAAGAAGTGTTTTAGTCGAATAGGGTTTTTTTGCATGCCGTTCATTTTGTTTGATTAACCCAGTCACTGCAATAGTACTAGCTTAAAATAAACTAGACTCATGTTAACAGAACTAGCATGTTTAAGGTCAACTAGTTTGCTATCCTAGCTTGAAAAACTATCCTTCGTGTAGTCAGGGCGTTAAGGATATTTCACTATTGGACGTATAGTGTCCTCCTAAAGACGGTTACGTTGACCACATGTTTCCTGCATTCATGAACTTAACTACCATTTTGACAATACTTTTTAATGAATTTCAACGCTTTGTTCAACTGTATAACGACTTTTAATCACTGTACTTCAGAAATTTATTTTAAACCACAGATTTTATTTGAATCAGATGAAGGCTGAAATTCGATAACTAGCTAAAGATATTAAATATGATTATCATTTTCAAAACATATAAAGTTTACCAAGTCTAAATGTCAAATTTAACTTGAAATTCTGTCAATGTGTGTAACGTGGTAGACACCATGCTTAACCCTTTAAATATCCCATTATCACAATTACCTTCGGTTCGTCAATCAGTACTAGAGTACATCCATCACTGACTACTATGACAGATGTGACACCAAGATTCATTGTAACATTAATGTATGAAGCGATTTACTCTTTATTTCAATTGAATGGCATTCAAAATCATCATCGTAATTGTGTTTTACGACGTATGGTCCCACGTCCGTTGACATCGGGGCTATATTATACTACTTAAGGCTTTATTTATGAAATATAAAGAAGAAGATCAGGGCCGGATTTAGAGGTCCAGAGACCTCGGGGCAACAGAGGAGCGGGGGGCCCCTCAGCCCAAATTATTTTCCAAATAAAGTAAACAATTTTTTTCAGTCGAGTTTTTCAATAAAAAAATTATTGTGAACCAAGTTATAGATTCCCTTAGTATTGAACAAACACATATAAATATAAACGGAAACAAGAATTATCTGAAATTAAATCTTAGA